TTCTCTCCACCCCTGTCCACTGTGAGGCTGCCCAAATGCGACAGGGCAGACCCTCTTTCCTTCTCCCCATCACTTGATGGGTTCCAGGCTGGGGTCCAGCCAGCATGGTAGGGAGGGGCCCCACAGCTGGCTGGGCACTTTCTCAACCCCTTCTGGCCTCACTCAGCCCCCACCCTGCAGGTCCCCTTTCCACCCTGGCTCTGGAGTCTGTGGGAACCAGACAGTTGGGGCTGTCCAGCCAGGCTCGCTTCCTCCCAGGCCCCAGGGGACCTGTTCAGGGAGGAGGGAGCAGCAGAGACTGAAGTTGGTGTGGCTGCCTGCCCAGGAAGGGGCTCTGGAGGGGACTGGGCTGCCTGCCCGATGAAGGGGTCTCCAGCCCCCTGGGTGTCACCTTGTGGGACATAAGACCCTCCAGACCTCTACACCAAAGACCAGAGAGGGGGTTCCTCAGTATCCTTGGCCCTTCTCTTCTCTCCCTGTACCCATGATCCAGATGGAGGAACTGAGGTTCTGGAAGGATGCCTCAGCAACTCTGGTATTAGGGGATGTGGGGACAGTGAGGTTTCAGGACCTTTCGTCCGTTCCTCTGATGGGTGCCACGATATACCCATTTATCCTGCTTCCCCGAGGGCTCTGTCACTTCTGATCTGTACCCAAGACAGCCACTCCTCTCCGCCACGAGAGAAACGCTTTCTTAAGGAATCAGCAGGACGGCTCAGATGGCTGTGGACTCAGAGAGGCCCCATTCGTGTGGGAAATCCAGACGAGGATCAGTGCCTGCCCTTTGAGCCTTGAAAGGCAGAGCAGTGCCCTCCTGTCACTGGCCTTGACCCCCACGCCCGCGCTTCTCCCGGACACCGGACACCACCAGCTCTGCTTCCACCCCACGTGCTGCCTGCGTCCTCTCTCAAACTGCATGCCAGGGGCTGGGGGCAGAGCACACAGACCTAGTTCTGATTTTCTCTCTGCCACTCTCGTGCCATTGGAGTCTGAGCTAGGAGCCCCAAACTCTCCAAGCCTCAGTTTCCACCAATGTAAAATGGGGATATTATTCCACACCACACAGGATTTGATGAGATGGAATAAATGTCGCAAATGGTCGGTTATTCTGACCACTCGTGATGGGGGTAGCTGAGTCACAGAGTTTGGGATTGGAGAGCTGGCCCCTCAGGCCAGGCTAGCCTCACTCCCTGCCTGGTACTCTCATGGTTGCATCCCTCCTCTCTATCCCATTTCCTGCTCCCCCTTCCTCTGCTTTCCTGGGAAACTCCCTGAGAAAGTCCCCAGCAGAAGTCCTCATGTGGAATATTTCCACCCAGGGTCTCTCACCCCTGCCACACAACCTCACAACCACAGCCACCCCACACAGAACCAGGCATCGCAGCCCTCAGCCCCCAACCATCCAGCAAGCTGACCCTCATCATCACACTGGCTTTATTGGCCCTGAGAGCCACAGAGTAAATCCCAAGGGGACTCTTCTTCCCCTCACCCCAAGTCTGTCCGGAGGCCCTGGGGCTGGTTGAGTGTTCACCACTCCGATCTTGCTTCCGGTCCCGGTTGTTCTTGACTTGCCAGACCCGGGTCCTTTGAGAGCTCCCCAGATCCTAGAGGCAGGCTCAGCCTGGAGGGTGTAGTGGCAGGGGCACTGCAGAGGCTGCCCCAGGCCAGGCTGGCTTCACTCAAAGAAGAACATTCCAGGTGTCCGGTATAGGCAGGGGGTCAGCCCCAATGGGTAGCCAGAGCCTCCCTGGACAGGGAAGCTGCCTGCAACCCAGGGTTCCTTGGGATCAGCTGTCAGAGGCAGCGGGGCCCGAAGTGAGGCTGGAGGAGTGGGAGGTGCAGGGGAGGGGGTTGCTGAGGCCAAGAGGTGTTCAAGGCCTGGATCGGTGCCCATGCAGAAATTCAGGGCCTGCAGCCGGCACTGGTAACTGCTCCCAATGCTCCCCTCAGGGGTCAAAATGGGTGTGGGGGCCTTGTTAAAACTCTCAGCCTCAGAGAAGCTGGCAGAAAAGCCAAATGCTGGGCATGAGGAAGATGAGGTGGCCATGGGGAGCTCCCCTGAGGCTGCAGGCTTGTGCGTGGGCATCTCTTTGGGCTCCGCAGATGGCCGGGGCCTGACATCGGTGGTTGCTGGGCACATGCTGGCTGGCAAGGCCCCCACCAAACCCCCAAAGCTTAGGCTTTTGGGCTCTGGCAGCTCTGGCAGGAATGGGCACTGCCTGCCAGTCGTAGTGTCGGGGACTCCTGGGTCCTGGCTGGTCGCTCTGAGGGGTCCTCGGCGTGCCTTGGCAGGGCCCTTGGTGCCCTCAGCACCTGCCCGCCGGGTGAAGCGTCGGCGTCTGCGCAAGAAGCTGCCGTGTTCAAACATATCATGACAGTCGGGGTCCAGTGTCCAGTAGCTGCCCTTGCCTGGCTTGCGGTCATCGCGGGGCACCTTGACAAAGCACTCGTTGAGTGACAGGTTGTGGCGAATGCTGTTCTGCCAGCCCGGCCGGTTGTGGCGGTAGAAGGCGAAGCGGCCCATGATGTAGCGGTAGATGCCACTGAGTGTGGCCCGCTGCCCCGGGGAGCTCTGGATGGCCATGGCGATCAGGGCTATGTAGCTGTAGGGGGGCTTGGTTGGCTCGGCTGCAGGGGCCAGGGGCCCGGGTGGGGGCTGCTGTTGCATGCTGGCTGGGCTGGCCGGGCTGGCCAGGCTGGCGGCTGCCGGGACCACGGGAGCCAGGCACTGCGTCCAGGGCTGGTGTCCGGCACAGCCTGCCCAGGCTGGTTAAAAGGCCTACTAGCCCAGCCTCCCAGCCTGGAAAGGCAAAAAGGGGTGGGCCCACCAGGCTGCCCTCCCTTCCTCCCTCGCCCCCCTCCTCCAAGGCCCCAGAGGGGAGGGCAGGAGAGGCGAGGATTGGGAAGCTTTGAGCAGCTGCCAGGGGTGAGGAGTTGGGAGGGAAGGGACTGAGTGAGACCCTCAGCCCACATGTGCTGAGTGGTGGAGGCTGGGGAGGGATAGGATGTGAAACTGAGGGCTACAGAACCAGAAACAAAAAGAGATAGAGGCAGAGATGTAAAGAGACAGAGACAGTGAAAAAGACAGAAACAGAGACAAAGAGGGGCAGAGACATAACAAGAGACAGAAACACACACACAGAGATAGAGGCAGAGACATAAAGAGACAGAGATAAGACAAGCACACACACACATGCATGCATGTAGTATACAGAAAAAGTTAGAATCACTGAAATAGAGAAATAAAGACATCTACAGAGATAGAGAGAAAAAGGAATATACAGAGAGAGACACAAGTACAGACACAAGAGAGGGAGGGGTAGAAAGATAGAGAGAGACAGTCATCCCTGAGAGACAGGAGAGGTTAGAGTCTAAGTGCTGAGCTAGAGGACTGGGAGTCTCCACCGGGCTTCTCAAGTCCCCACCTCCAGTTCCCCTTTTCTCCTCTCCTCCTCTTCCCAGGCCTGTGGTCTACTTCTCCCCACAGTGCAGGGCCCTTGAGGTCACACTATTTATTCCCTGCTCTCCTTTCACTAGGGTGTATGTGGATGTGGGGCGGGGCACCTAGGATGGTGATTAGAGCCAGCCAAACCCAGTCAGCTGAGCCCCCGCGCCCTCTAGTGGTGTGGGGAGGACAGTCATTTGGGCAGAGACACCTCCTCTCAAGAGGTGTCCCAAGCAAGTTCCTGGCTCAGCCTCAGTTTCCCATCTCTAAAGTGGAGCTGGCGACTCTTCATCTGTACAAGCTGTGGTGAGGAGGCAACAGGCTCTCTTACATGGAATCCAATACCCTCTGCAAGCCGAGCACAGAGTAGGACACGGTTGAGGACTGTCACTCGGAACTGAGGCTCCCCGCCAGCTGCAGCCTTGCGCCCGGGATACAGCAAAGCCCAGGACAGACACTCAGGCCTTCTGAAGAATGGGGCAGCCTCCTTCACATTCTCCCGACCACAAGTAACCAAGTCAGATGGCACCTACTGCATGCCACTCTCCATGCCAGGCCCATTTACCTCCCTTCTCCACATTTACTTCTCAGACCAACCCTGCTCCAGAGGTCTTTAGAGCTTCTTTCAGATAGATGGGGAATCTGAGACTTAGAGAAGTTAGGTGACTTGCTTAAGGTCACACAGCTAGTGAATGAAAAAACTAGGATTTCAACCCAGGATTCTGTAACTCCTTAATGTCACCCTTCCTGTGAGGGGCAAGGATAGAGAACAGTCACTGGGACCCCACTGGAAAACAGGCTATAAACCTTAAGAGAGCAGGGACCATGCTGTTTTGCTCTATCCCCAGTCCAGCCTTGGCCTGGAACAGGTGTTCAATCAACATTTGTTGAATGAATTTAAAAAATAGTTATCTGATTGACTTCTGTCCTTTGTTGAATCATACAGTCCCCCACACCCATAAAAGTGGCTTATTAATGTATCACCAAAAGAGAGTTATTATGTTGCCATCTGTAAAAGGAGTCTTATAAAGTCAGAAATCAGAAAAGGAAAAAACATCTGATATCTGGGGCAGAAAACAGTGACTTACTGACAAAGCAAGTTCAACTGCCTTCATGGTTGAGGGGCTCCCTCCCTATTCTCAATAATTTCCCCCAACTTACAGTTTGCAAAGTTTGAAGGGGCTAGACTCCTCCTGATTCCCACTTTGACTTCTGCCTTAGGGCTCTGTTTGGGGGCCTGTCTCAGTTTCTCCAAAGAAAGTATCTACTGGTGCTGGTGGTTCAGTGGTTGGCATCCAAAGTTCCAAGTTTAGGACAAGTCCTTTGTTTTGGGACCTCCTTCTCCCCCCCCCCCCCCACACACACCCAGAAAGAAGAGAGATGGGGCACCAGATGTCCCTAGTGGCAGGTAAGAGGAAGGGTCTGGAAACTCAGAGCCCCTCAGAGGTCCCACTCCAAACAACCCTGAGGATCTAATTATTGGTAAACTCAGCTTTTTTTATTTATTTTTTATTTTGGTACATGCCCCTGAACCTGGGACTCTCTGGTCCGCAAGACAACACTCCAACCGCTGAGCCAAACTGGGCAGGGCGGTAAACTCAGCTTTAAGCAAAGCTTATAATAGATCAATCGCAGGTAAGGTCTGCTTTAGCTAAACCGCTATAGGCATGTTGGGCTCTCAACAAAGAGATGAAATCTTGTTTCTTCTGCCCTAATTGCTGTTTCTGGAATCTCAAGGTCAAGTTAGGTTTCTGCCTGTCCACCTACATAGAGTATTCCAGGGCTACATATCCTCAGCTCAGAGGTTGAAGGCCACGATTGGCTTCCGCTATCCCACCTCAGCTAGATGGTGGGTGGGGGAGGCCCCAAGTCTACTGGCTCAGTTTGGACAGAGCAGGGGTGGGGTCCACACCCTGTGGGGGGCTGACTTTAGAGGGTACAAGGAGGAAGCAGCTGCTTAGGGCTGACTCAGCTGTGTCACCAAGTGAGTGATGCCATCAGGGATGTATGGACTGGGGACTGGCCACCAATGCACTGTGGTTGTGGTGCTTCCAATGCAGCAGGAGCTCTCGCGCAAAGACTGGCTCCACCTGCGGGGATGGAAGGTGGGGCAATGAGCCAACTTTCTCCATTACTCATCCCCTCTGTTCCTGTGGGAAGTCACAGCCCTAGTGATAGCCCCCCCCCCCCCCGTTTTACATGCAGGCTCATACAGATTAGAGGGTCATATAGCAGGTTAGGGGCAGAGCTGGGACTAGAGGGAGCAGTGAGGGGCTGTTAGGAGGGGACTGGAGAGTGTGGGTTTCCACTGGAGTGGGGAGGTGACTCACATGGGCCATGATGAGCCGCTCCTGGGGCTGGTCTGGGGGGCATGGGTACTCCTCTCCAAAGCACAGATGGATCTGGTACTCAGGCTCTGGGCAACCATCCTGCAGGTGGGCCCGCAGTTCTACGGGCACTGAGACTGTAGGGGCTGGGCCAAGATGGGGCATCCCTCCTGGTGCCCACCTTGTGTTCATAGCCCATGTCCATGTCCTGTAAGCCCACATCCCCATCGCGTACCCCCCTACCCTGTGCTTGTGTCCACGTCTCTATGCTTGTCTCATGTCCCACATCTGTGCCCACTTCCAGTGCTCATGCCCCATGCCTTGTTCCCTTATGGTCATTGCTAAGCCTTTATGCCCAGCTCATGACCATTGCCACTCACCTATGCCTATCTTGTGCCCAATGTCCCTGTTGCCCACGCTATTTTAGTGCCCTAGGACAAACATGTGCCCAAGTCCTCTGCATATGCCCCACACCCAATGCCCCAAGCCTGCTCCCCGCCTGTATCTCCCATGTCTATGTCAATATCTGTGCCTAGCTCTCCTGATGCCCATATCTGTTCCCACTTCCGGTGCTTCTGTGTCATGTCCTTTGTTTCTATGTCCACCCCTTGCCCAGCATCCTTAAGCCCATTCCCTGGCTCCCAACACCCCGTGTGCCCACTCTCCTTTGTCCACATCCCTTTGCCCACTCTTGTGTCCAGCCTGTCTGTCCTGCGCCACCAGCGGCCCCACCTTCGCATTCTTACCGGCGAGGAAGCGGCGCGTGTCGAGCAGCTGGCAGGTGCGTTCACGCTCCAATTTGTTGGGCTGCGCGCGGTGCGGGGCGAGCGGGCCGCGCCAGTACACGCGGCCTTGGCACAGGCGCTTGGCGAATACTCCTTCGGGCGCGACCCACAGCAGCACGCCGCGCTCCAGGTGCGGCAGCAGGCGCTGCAGCACGCGGGCTCCGGGCGGCGGCTCCGGGAAGCGAACCTGTGCGACGCGCGGTGGCGGCCCCAGAAGACGCTCCGCGGCGGAGGCAACAGCGGCCCCCGCGCTCAGCCGGCAACCCTCCGCGGTGCGCGCGGTGGCTTCGCGCACAAGCTCCGCGCCGTAGAACAGTCGGACGTGCAGCCAGCAATCTGAGGAAAGAGGAGAGGAGGCTCCGCCAGGGGTTGGTGGCGCCAGCCACCCACAGCAGGGCAGGGAACCCTGAGGTCCTCCCAGCCCCACCTCAGGAAGTTTTGGCGGCTCCTCCAGATAAGTGATAATAATAATTATAGTAGTGGTGGTGGTTGTAAATAATTGCAGCTTCCAGTATAAATGAACTGGTAGTTGAACTTCAAAATCATAGGGCCTGGGCATGTGTACAACGAGGGCATCACACTGAGGCTCTCCCAGCCCCAACTTCTGGGATTTTAGGAGCTTCTTCCCAGCAAATATTTTAATGCTGGTGGAAATAATAACGAAATAGCAGCCTCCCGTGTGAGGAGCCAGGCCCTTGGATTGTAATCTCTCACTGGCCTTTAGGAGCTGTGACCTGTTAATAACTTTCCCAGGTTACTAGCTGTGTGACCTTGGGCAAGGTTCTTAACCTCTGGTCTGGTTTCTGCAGCTGTAAAATGGGGGTAATGGTAGGATCTATCTCTCAGGGTTGCCAGGAGAGCTTAGAAGGATGCCTGGAATAAATTAAGTCCTCAACAAAGGTTAGCTGTTGTTATCGGGAGTCTGGGCTGGATGCTTCGGGTGGGAGATAGAGGCTAGCTGGCCCCAACCTCAGGCCTTCCCTGCTCTGCACAGTGGTCAGAAGGGAGAGCCTTCAGATTCCTTACCAGAGTTGCTGAAGTCCTCAGAAGGCAAAGGGCTCCAGAGGTGTGAGGGGTCCTGGGCCTGATACCCTGAGGAAGGAGGGGAAACAGTCAGGCACCACCCCACTCTGGGTCCCTTGACCCCTAGATCAAAGTCCTGGAGGAGGCCAGGGAGGAGGCAGGGGTGGGTGAGGAGAGCCAGTACTTACTGTGGTCAACCAAAGGGCCTGGGAGCAGGGCAGCTGGTGGCAGTGAGCCCTGCTGGGCCAGCCGGGGGCGCTGCTCCTTGTCCTTATCCTCTGTGGCTAATCCGGAGCCAGCCTGAGCAGCAGGAGAGAGGGTTGTGAGGGTGGGATCGGAGTTCCCAGGACTGTCTGCCTTGGGGTAGAGGGAGGTCTGGGCAGACTGAAGGCTGGCTGGGTTTGACAGGGACTTTGAAGTTTCAGAGCTCAAGAAAGACCCTTCTCCTCATTGAGGTAAAAAGAGTTGATTGGTTTGTTGGAGGTGATGGGGTCAGAGAGGAAGCTCACTATGATAGGGGGGAAGTGCTAGAAGTGAATGGGAGACGAGGAACAAAGTGATAGAGAGGGGGAGAGAGTGATTGAATAGATGCTGATGGGGGCACTGGGGAGAGTGGAATGGACCAGACTGATGGAGGGATGGGGACAGTGAGGGAGCCAGACGATGGAGGCAAAGTGAATAGAATGCTGGAGCTGAAAGTGGTGGGACGGGAAGGGTGGGCACGGAGGGGATGAGAGCATGTGTTAGAGACCAGAGAGAGGGTGGTTTAGGTAAAAAGCGACTCAGCTGGCAAGGCTGCCAGGGCTGGAAGGACACACTGACCTGGTCTGTCCTGCAGGCTGGCTCCGCCACTTCTCTAGGGGGCTCCTGCTGGCTCTGGAGAATGACATCCTCTTCAGAAGAAGCACAAGCCCTGGTAACTGGATGGAGTAAGAGATAGCCTATTGCTTCCTGGGCCCCAAGGGAACCCCCTCAACTGAGATGATCCCAGACAGGAGTACCCCAGCCCACTGCATGATCTCAGGCAAGACCCACCTCTCCCTGGGCCTCAGTTTCCTCCTTTTCAAACAGGAAGATTAACTGGGTGGCCTAAGAGTCCTTCTGTGTTTACCTACTCATGAGTTTAAGCTCAGTAAGTCTAAAATGTTCTTTTTTTAAAAAAATCCTTACTCAAGGACATTTGGACATTTTTGCAATTATCTTGAGATAGAGCAGGAGGGAGAGAGGGCGGAAGAGAGAGAGAGAGAGAAACATCGATGTGAGAGAGACACATCTACTGGCTGCCACCCACATGACCCCAACTGGGGCCGGGGACAAACTGCAACCAAGGTACGTGCCCTTAGTAGAAATCGAACCTGGGTCTCTCTGGACCACAGGCCGATGCTCTAACTCTGAGCCAAACCGGCCAGGGCAGTCTAAAATGTTCTTATTGCCCAGAGAGCCATCCTTGGCCACTTCCTCCAGGAGCAAGATGGTACCTGGGACATGGGCATCGTTGGACACAATCTGGTAGACCTTGTAGGGATTGGAGATGTCCAGCTGGCTGCGCTCACGCACCTCACAGAAGTCGGCACTCTTGTTGAGAGCACAGCGAAGCCGTGTCTTCCAAGTGGAGGGGTCCTCCTTGTCAGTGCCCTCTAGGTGCTTGCCCTTGTATATGGCCCAGGCCTGGGGATGAGCAAAAGTATTTGGGGAGGAATAGCCTCGGGTGGGGGCTGGTGTTATGCAAAGGGATGAGGGCCTGCCTTGCTTCCCACCCTTCTCTCTTCCTCTGACCCTTTGTCCCTCTGCCTTTCCATGTTTTCCTTTCTTCCTTCCTCCCTCTCTCCATCCAACACATTCCTTGAGCTCCTACTATGTGCCAGGCCTGAGTTAGAGACTGAAGAGGGAACAAGACAGATATGGTCCCTGCTCTCAAGGAACTCAGGTCTAATGGGAGGAGATAGCTACAAACAACTCAGTGGTAATAGCTATATTCCAACTTATGAACCATGATAAGTAAAAATAAATAGGATGACAGGACATAAAATAATGGTGATTTGCTATCTGCAGAACCATAAAATTAAATCTCTACCTATTGCCACATACAAAAGGTAGACTCCAGATTATTTAAAAAACCAAAAGTAAGAGGTAAAATTGTGAAATTAATAGATGATAATGTAGGAGAAAATCTTCTAGGAGCAGAGAATGCTTGGAAACAAAACTTCAAAGGCATAAACCATAAGGCAAAAAAAAATTACAATGTGTAAAATCAGCAAGGGGCTAAGATCTGGAACATGCAAGAAACTTCTGCAAATCAACAAGAAACAGAGAGCATCCTGTAAATAAAACATTCTGAACAAAGGACAGAATGAATGATTTACAAAAAAGGAAACCATAAACCCATGAGCATATGAGTATTTAAATGCATTAGTGTCAGAGAAATGCAAATAAACACAGAGATATCACTTGTAAGCTGACAAACTCTAGCCAGTTGGATAATGCAGGAGTTGGTTGGGATGTGGGAACTGCTGGCAGGTGTGGAATGGTGCAGAGCTTTGGGACAGTCATCTGGCATGCTTAGTTAAATTAAGTATAAACACACCCAGTGAGTAGAAATTCCAGTTCAAAAGGAACTCTCACAGAGACTCATGAAGGGACCAGGACATCTACCGCAGCATTACTTGTGGTGCTGGAAAGCAAACCCGTGTCCATCTCTGGGAAAGTGTGTGTGTGTGTGTGTGTGTGTGTGTGTGTGTGTGATGGATGTCCACTATAGAGTCCTTGCAGCATGTAGAAGCATCTAGGAGCAACAAATTAAATGTACAGAGAACAAGAATAGATGTTCAGAGCGTGATCCTGAGTGAAAAGTAAGCCACAGAATGAGATCTACAACACAATGTGATATGTATAAGATAAGAAAACACACAAAATAGTAATGCCCATTTTGCAATAAAGCAAACAGATGCAAACTATTCATTAAACACACTAGAAAACACAGAGACTGTTCTGGTAAAAGGACTAAATAAACAGATTAAGAGATATGAGGGGCCACTTTACACAGGTTTATCAGAAATGGCCTTTTGGAGGAAGTGGCATTTGAGCTGAAGCCTGAATAAAAAGAAGAATGGAGATTGACAAAGAGCTGGGGGAAGGGTGTTCTAGGTAAAAGGAATAGCAAATGCAAAGGTCCTGAGGTGGGAGGAGATTGGTAGATTCAAGGAAGGCCAGTATGGCTGGGGCAGAGAAGTCAAAGGAGATGTATTGCTTGTGTTGCTCACATTCAGAGCTGGGGGTGGGGGTTTAACCAATGAATCACACTCAGCCATTGACCCCAGAGATTCCAGGTCTGGTGGGAAGCAGGGACACCAAAGCAAAGAGTCACATTCTTATGTTGGTGCCACTTGCCAGTGATGAGACCTTCAAGGCTTGATTTTGTTGTCTGTAAACAGTGCCAGTGATTCCTAACCTCACATGGTTATAGTGGGTGTAAGATGAGCAATCTATGTAAAGTGTTTAGCACTTATTCGTTACGTTAAGGGTACTCTCACTCAAAGGTAACCTGGTCACCACGGTGAGAGAGAGATCATTGTTTTGTTCACTGCTGTTTCCCCAAGTACTTTGAGTGAAAAGTAAGCCACAGAATGCCTGGCACCAAGAGACACTCACTAAATAACTGTGGAATAAATTGAGCTGGGCCTTGAAGAGTGAGTAGGAAGTTGCCAGGTGGAGTGACATTCCTGGCAGGGGAACAGCTTCAGCGAAGGCCTGGAGGTGCAGAAGAGCACGGTGCACTCAGGGAACAGTGAGCAGCCTGCTGCTGCTGGAGCTGGGTATGTGTGTCTAAGGGTGTGTGCACAGTACAGTCTCATTATTCTCATTATTTAGTTATGTTCTAAAGAATCTGCACAAACACTGAATTAGTGAATACTGACTCATTGCTTCTAGGGAAAATACAACGCTAGGTTTCTACGAGTCCTTGTTTACAACATTTTCATCAACTGATCCATACGTAACTTTGTTTTATGTGTATTTCCACAGGATACCTTATTTGATATAAACTTGATTCATTCACATTGAACTCATGGCCAACAAAACTGGAACTGACACCTGAACGAAGCTTATCTGACACACTTACGGGGTCTGTAATTTCTCCGTCAGGCTCATCATTGGCTTCTTCTGCATAGGAACACTGAACAGCATTTCAGCACTATGTAGGCTTGGGCCATTTTAAATTGTAAAATCATCAACAAAAAGCACAAAAATATTTAAAATGTGGCACTAAATAGACCGCAAAAAACATTTGTTTATGGTTTGAGAGCAGAAACAAGAAGGCAGAGCGTCACCTGTTCAACCTCAGCCAGGAATGTGCATGTCTGGTGACAGATTTTTCACTCTTCTGCACATGTCTGTGAATGGTCACAAAAGTGCCCAGGGTATTGATTCTGGGATTGCGAATTTCAGCGAGTGAGTGAATTTGCAAATATGGAATCCGCAAATAATGACCAACTAACTGTACGTAGTGGAGAAAGGGGAAGAGGAACTAAGGAAGAAGAGACAGGTTGAAGCTGGATCATGAATGTCCTGAAAGGCCAAACTTTATCCCTGGGCTTTGGGCACCAGGAAGGTGTGAAGCCAGGGAGTCACATGTGTGTCAGTGGTGGGTTTAGGGATGTTCAACGCAGCCAGAAGGATGGGGAGAGCCAGCCCACAGAATCTCTCTCCTCTGAGCAACAGCACATAAGGCCATGCAAACACTTATTGAGCACTTATTGTGTGCCAGGCACTGTGCTTGGTGTCACCACCTTAAAGCAGCTGGAGGAGACAGACTCACACAAGGCACTTATAATTCATAGGGAAAGTAGTTTCAGTGGGGGAAGCAGAGAAATCAGGGATGAACTGGGAGAAGCACTGAGTTGGAGCTTAATAAATGCATGAAATGAATGCATTAGGGAAGACTCTCTTGAGGAAGAAATGTTTAAGCGGAGCATGATGACAGTTGGCCAGATGAATGTAAAGAGGAGAGAATGTTCCAGTAGAGGGAATAGTATGTGCAAAGGTCCAATGGTGAGAGAGCCCTGAAGCATTTAGAAACTGAAAGAACTGTCGGGCTGCGTCTACAGTTGGGGAAGGGAGGGAAGTGGAGAGAGATGAGGCCAGGGAGGAACAGTTCCTGCAGGGCTTTGATGCCATGGTAAGGAGTTGGGACTTTATCACAAAGGCAATGAGGAGCCATGGAAGGATTCTGCATAGGAGAGTAGCAAGGCAAGATTTACATTGAGAAAGATCTCTTTGGAGGACCGAGGGAGAGCTGATGGACAGAGGGAAGCAGACGTCACAGCAGTTTTCCTGGTGAGAGACCATAAAAGGGGTCCAAGTACATGGACTGGAGAGGAGTTCTGTGGGGAGAGACAGCAGGTCTTGGTAATTGAGATTGGAAGAGGGGAGCAGCCAGGGTTTAGGTGCCTGGCTCTGGGGTCCAGGTGGGAAATGGGTGCACTATTCCATTGAGGGGGGCGGAGATGTTTGCAGGGCAAGCTGAGGAGTGTAGTGTTGAGGATATGTTGAGTCTGAGAGGTCTGGGGACTGTGAGCCCGCAGGCTTGGGGCTCCATGTGAAGGCTCTGGAAGGGGAGCGTGGGACATGAAGAAGGATGTCCAGGAATGGATGCCAAGAGTGCCCCAAAATAGGAGGGGAGGGTTTAGAGGCAGAGAAGCAGGGACCATAAAGTAGGAGGAAAATGGAGGGCAGGGTGAGGGGTGGAAAGGGAGGCAGAGATTCTGGAAACCAAGTGAGTGTGTTTCAAGGAGGAGGGAGGGGGCCCCAGGCCCAGACCCGCCCCCCCCCCCACACACACCTGGGGTCAAAGAAGATGACAGTGACAGCAACCTTGGATTTGGCACCTAGAAACATTAGCAGGAGGGACAGAAGCCAGAAGGGGCAGGGGAGGGGGAGAAGGAATTGGGGGGCTACGAGTGAGGGAGTTGATGACCAGGAGACTCTTTCCAGGAGAGGGGAGACCAGAGAATCAGCAGTTGGACACAGTGTGGTGTTTGGGGGTGGGGGTGGGGCCTATGTGGTTGGTTGGTTACTTATTGCTTATAGGAGAGATTCTGGAGTTTAAATGTTATGGGATAGAGCCAGTTTGGAGGAAGTTAATGATGACTGAAGAAAGGGAGGGCATTCCTGAAGGGGTAGGTCCCTGAGAAAGGCTAGTGTTGGGAAGCACAGAAAATGTCCCCAAGCTGCTGGGTGGGGGGTTTGGGGATGGGAAGCTGAGGGAGTTCCCATCAATGGCGTCTAATTTCACCCTGTGGAGAGGGAGAAGCCCCTTGAGAGGTGGGGGTGGTATAGGTCATGCAGCTGCTGCCATTCTGTTTTAAGAGGGTGTCTGAGGGTCTCCCATCTATGGAGAACACCGAGGCTAAGGCCAAGTGAGTGACCCAAGGTTACCCAGTGCGTGGATCCGCCTGTGCTCTGGGCGCTGGGGCCGTGCTCGTCCAGAGCCCTGCCGAGCCTGTCCCCTGTCCCCCGTCCCCGGCCCCTTACCCTGAAGAGCGCCGCGTCCTGCTGCGCCTCGTACCCCTGCTTGGCTGCGTGCTTCCAGGGGATGCGGAAGAGGGTCTTGCCCGCGTCCTCCCAGAGCAACCCCGGATAGCGCCCGCTCTCAATCTGCGCCACCAGCCAGTCACGGAGGCGCAGGGGCCCTCCGGCCCCAGCCTTGGGTCGCCTGCCGTCGGGGACCTTCCCTTCCTCCCTCCGCCAGGGGTCGCCGGCCATTGAGGACGCAGTGCTCCGGGGGCCAGCTCCCGGGCCCACGGCGATTGGACTCCTAGTGGGACAGCGATCCGGGGGCCACCTGAGTGGCGTGCGAAGGCGGCGAAACCGAAAGGCTGGCCTGGCAGGTTTCACTTTCCGTTTTGCCCCTTCTCCCGGGAGGCCCTGTCCTTTCGTCCCTCCCCGTGTAGCCTGGTCCAGAGGGTGTGGGGCCTCACGCGGGTCAGCTAGAGGTGCCTTGGGACGCCTAGTCCCATTGGAGGGTAAGGCGTGGGACAGCCCGGGCTCTGCCTGTTCCCAGAGCCCCTGTGGTAGGACAACAGGCATGCAGAGGCGACCCTTGCCCTACCCCTGCCTGCACCTGTGTTCTGCTCTTCCCAGCCGGCTAGAAAATTGTCAGTCCCTTTTCGGAACCTGGAGTATAGAGGCTGAAAAAGCGCAGTGCTTCTCAAACTAGGTCCCATTGGAACTGGGAGGCCTCCATCCCAGAATCTGATTCTGATCCTGGTGGTCCATGGGCCACATTTGGAGAACTATCACCTTAAACCTTGGGAGTCCCCATTTACTGATGCTCACCACAGCGCTAGGCCTGGTGAGAGCCTTTCCTGCAGTAGATTGGGTCTCACAACAGCATGTGAGATGAGAGAGGTTCAAGTCCTATAAAAAGGTCACAGGGCTAATGGGTGGGGGAGCCAGGATCCAAACCTGTATCTCTGTCCCAAGGGCCCAGAACCTAAACAGTGCCTCCCAACAGATACACCTGGAGTTTATGGATTCCTGGGGGCGAGGGTGATTCCCCTGAAAGTGCATGCAATTATTTCCATGTTTATGCATTTTTTCTAGGATTTGTATCTTTCATTAAATTGTCACATGGGGTTTGTGATCTGAAAGAGGTCAAGTAGTTCATACTGTTCCACCCCTTGCTGTGTACATGGGAAAACTGAGGCTTTAAGAGAGGAACCATCCTCTCTGCAGCGAGTGCAGAGCTGGGCTCCCAGCCAGCATTGACCAGAGGCTGGTAGCCCTGTCCCTCATGTGAACCTGTTAGAGGGACCTTCATGCTCCCCACTCTCTGTCTCCATATTCCAGAAGCCACCCAGTTCTTTTTTTTTTTTTTTTTAATCCTCACCTGAGGACATTTTTCCATTTTTTGTTCAGATAGAGTGGGGAGGGAGAGAGAGAGAAAGAAACGCTGATGTGAAAGGGACACATCGAGTGGTTGCCACCCGCATGACCCAACGAGGGCCAGGGACAAACTGCAACCAAGGTACATGCCCCTAGCGGGAACCGAACCGGGGTCTCTCTGGACCACAAGCTGACGCTCTAACCGCTGAGCCAAACCGGCCAGGGCACAACCCAGTTCTGGCAATCTTAGTCATAACCAAGGTTCAGATTCGGGCCCGTAGGGTTCCCATGGGGCATAAAGAATTTCATATAAATACAAAAGTATCTAAATAATACAAAATAATTACATCAAAGCAGAGGTCTTCAGTGAATCAGACAATTCCTTCATTTTCCTAAGTGGCAGAGTCGTTAGGAAGGTGGGGTCCATAGTTAGACTGCCTGGATTCAAATCACAGCCCCACCACTTGCTAGCTGGTGACTTTGGGCACCAATCTTAGTTCCTTCATCTGTTAAATAGCAACACCTACTTCATAGGGTTGCTTGAGGATTAAATGAGATGCAGGTAAAATGTTTAACACATTGCCTGGCCTATAGTGATCGCTCACTAAATTAGTGGTAGTATTATTGTTGTTGAGTCACAGTGTAGTGAAAATAATAATGGAAGTGGGGGGAGGGAGCATCATGAAGGATCAGGAACATCAGATCAAGGTGCTTTGTTTTTTCCTATTGATGATGGGGGCCATGGAGGGTTTTTTGTTTGTTTGGTTTTCTTTTTAAAAAATTTTTTTTCTTTATTGATTTCAGAGAGAGAGAGGAAGTGAGAGGGAGACTGATAGAAACATCGATGAGAGAGAACATCGATTGGCCACCTCCTGTATGCTCCCCACTGGGGATTGGGCCCACAACTTGGGCATGTGTCCTGACTGGGAGTGGAACTGGCGACCTCTTGGTGCATGGGTCGAAGCTCAGCCACTAAGCCACTAAGCCACACCAGCTGGACTGTTTGTTTTCAAGTGAAAGGAAAGTTTATTTGAAAAATAGAGAACTCCCACAGTGGGAAGGGGACCCAAGTGGGCTGCCCAATGGGGGGCTTTAAGTAGGGGGAAGATACCAGTAGAAATAGAATAGTGTTTTAAACTCATTGGATGGTGCCCTGGCTGGTTTGGCTCAGCGGTTAGTGTGTCAGCCTGCAGACCAGAGAGTCCCGAGTTCCTGCTAAGGGCACATACCTCAGTTGCAGTTTGTCCCTGGCCCCAGTTGGGGTTGTGTGGGTGGCAACCAGTCAATGTGTCTCTCTCACATCGATGTTTCTCTCTCTCTTCCCCCTTCTCTCCCTCCCGCTCTGTCTGAAAAAAACAAAATGTCCTCGGGTGAGGATAAAATAAATAAAATAAACCCAGTGGATGGTGCCCCTCTCCCTCAACTAGCCAGGTCCACAGGCACCCTGCACTCTGATGAGTCTAGCCATCTTGCTTTCACACAGGATCCTACCTCAGGGCCTTTTCACTCACTGTTCCCTCTGCCTGAAATGCTTCTCCCCAGATAGCATAACAGTTCACTCCCTCACTCCTTGACTTGTTTTTTCTTTGACTTATTTTTTCTTTGGTTTATCTGTCTATCTAGTGTCTTTCCCACCAGAATATCAGCAACACGGGGCAGAGGTTTTGCTCACTGCTGTATTATTCCCAGTGCCCAGCACAACACCTGACACACAGTAGATACTCAATGGATATTTGTCCAGTGAATGCAGAGTAGGAGGTTGGGCAGCAGGAAAAGGTAATTTAATCCATCCCTCCAACCTCAGAGCAGGAACCTAGGTCTCTCCCACAAGCCCTGTGCTTGGAGCACAATAAGAGCCCCACGCAGATGGCTATATTATTATAGCTATTTCAGACCCCTCTTAACTCTGGGTTAATTTTAGTTTAGGAAAAAGTCAGCTCCAATGACCTCTGTTCATCCTTGAAGTCAGTTTGCTGCTTTATTGGTCTGCCTGGCCTTTAAACTCTAGGTGGGAAGGGTCATTCCCACTAGCTCTCCAGTAACCCCCAAGACCAGAAGGAGCTGCTTCTTAATACCATCATGCCACACAAAACAGCTTGGTTCAAACCCAGCCTCCCCTACTTAGCTGTGTGTCCTATGGCAAGTTGCCTGCCCCGGGATTAAGTGAACTCAAGTAAAAGGTCAGGCGTGAGGGAAGCATTTACCAGCAAGTATTTGTGAATAGAGAAGGGGAGGGAGTTGGAGAGGAGGAGGCGGCTGAGGGAGGAGAGAGGCTCAGAGAGGGGGAAGGGGATTCAGAGAGGAGAGACTCGGGGCCCAGTGTGGAGACCTGTGCAGGGGGGGGGAATGGGGAGAGGGGAGAGGAGTGTCAGCGAAGTACTGTATTCAGAATTCAGCCCCGAGGACGGCGGTTTACTTAGGGCTGCAGGCTCTTCAGGCCCCAGGGGTGCAGACCCCTCCCATCCCTGTTTCCTGCAGGCTCCGGGCCCCTGGCAGAGTCTTGCGAACCCACCTTTGCTCAATGACTGCGAGGCGTTGAGACAGCTTCTGGGTCTCTTTAATTTCCTCCAGGTCCGTTCCCACCTACCCACCTACTCCTGCCGCCTTTAAGAGGGGGGGCCCATGTGCCCCCGCCTCCAGCCCAAGGCCTAAGGCACCAGGTGGCTGCAGCAAGCTGCCCGACGCGGAGACGCACAGACGGAGGACACACTACTGCAGACAAGCAGGGCGGGCATAGGGGCAGGGGCAAGGATCAGGCCGCCGCGGGGCTCCCAGGAGGCGGTGGGAGGCCCAGACAGTCCCCCGCAGGGGACCAGTTGGAAGGAAGCGGTGCGGAATCCTCACTTGCCGCCTCTGCGGGACAGACACCGGGGGAGGCAAGAGAAAGTCTGCTTGACGCGCGACAGCAGCGGCAGCGGCCGGTGGGCCTCCCGCGGCACCAGGCGCTGCAGGGTTCCCTCGGAGGCTGACTGCGGCGCGGGGAAGGCGGCCGAGGTCGCAGAGCCCTGTCGGCAGCGCTTGCACAGTGGCAGCAGCGCGCGCACGTCTTCGTCGTCGCGGAACGGGCTCTCTCCGAAGCGCTCCTCCAGCTGCCGGCGAAGCTGGGGTGGGGATGTAGGGGTTCGGGCGTCAGTGCCAGGCCGCCCGCCCGGTCCCCTCCCCAGTCCTCAGAGCTTCGGCTCTTCTGGAGCTTTCCACGCCTCGCTAAGCCCCTTCCCTTCCCAAATGTCTTCTTAGCCTCCCTTCTGAGTTTCCATCCCCCTCACTGAACCCCACCATGAATCCCTTCCCTCTCCCTGAACCCACCTGTCTTTGGGCACTCCAATCTTCCAGATTTGCTAAAGTGACCTTCCTACCTGCACCGTGGGACATTAATCCCTCCCCACTGCACAGCAATTCCGCTCGCACAGGGCCATTCCTTGCCTGCCTCTTTCCTAAAGCCTTGCAGATAAGCCTCTGGGTCCCAGCCTGCCACTTGATGAGAGCCTTCCTGCCCTTGCTGCCCTTGCTGCTTCTCTCCCTGTCTCTGTCTCTCATCCACTGTCGCCAAGGAAGCCTCAGTTCCTGACATCTCCATGTGCCATCTGTCCAGTAGGCATAAGAGAAGGAACTGGTTTGGCCTCATCGATGATCCAGGGATGGAGTAGGAGATGCACATTTCTCCCCAAAAGGGCCCAACGCTCAAATGCCTTCAGGTTCCAGGCAGGTAGAGTAGGCAGTTCTGGGACCTGATTAAATTAAAGGGTCTATAGTCTGACCCAAAGGCATTCAAATTCTAAATTAAAAAGGAAAAAAAAAAATCTGGCTATACAAACAAAATACACCTAGGGGTTATATTAGCTCAAGGACCATCATTTTGAGACCCCAGAAAAATCTTCTGCCAGGTCTGAAGCACAGGCTAAATTCTTTCCAATCAGTGCTTGGCTCAAGTGAGAGGAAGAGCCTCCCACCCTGCCCCAGCCCCTGCCCCAGTCCCTACCTTCCGGGAATTGCCCCAGCCAAACTCTTCAAGCTGCTGCCTGAAGCCTGGGTTGGGGTTGGCAATGGGCCGGGTGGACTTGATGGCTTCAAGCACTTCCCGCCAGCCTAGTCCCGTCACAGTCATCACATATGCTGTCACCACGGTGGTGCTTCGAGAGATGCCTGCAAAGCTGGCACCCCCCCCCCCCCAAACTTCAGGTAAGGCCCAATCTTCTCTGTGCCCCCTCCCCGGCTCAGACAACCCACCCCACTTCAACTCTCCCACTCTTGCCTCCTGAGCTCCAACCACAAGGAACCTGCCAGGACCTATTTTCCCACCTCTAGGCCTTTGTCCATTCTGTTCCCTCTGCCTGAAGAATCCCCTAGGCATTCCCCCACATTAAAGGTCTGAGTGAAACATCATTTCACTCATTCACTCAACAAACATTTCCTGATTATCTGTCATTTTTCAGATACTGAAATATAGTGGGAAGTAAAACAGAGATGGTCTGTGTCATCCTGGTACTAATAGTAGTGTTGGGGGAGACAGACACTAACCAGGGAAATAATTTTAGATGGTGATAATTACTTTGCAGATGAGTTCAGGGCTAGGAAATGATGTAGGAAGAGTTATTAATGTAGTAGGGAGGATGGGGAGGATGAGGGAAGGTGCTTCCAAGCAAGTGACATCAAGTGAGTCTTGAAAGAAGGGTAAGGCTTAATAAAGAATGTTCTGGACAGCGTGTAGGAAGACCATGAGGTGGGAGCCTGGTGGATTTGAAGAACAGGGAGGTGGCCAGTGCATTTGGAGCAGGGGAAGGAGGGAGACAGGGTGGGAGACAAGGCTGGAGGAAGCTTTTCCTGTGCTGGGGCTCCAGCATAGGGTAGGTGCTCAGTGAGAAGTTATGAAATGAGTGACATCTACTAGGCTGGGGGCTCCTGGGAAGACTCAGGGGTCCTGTCTCCTAGCCCATGGTTCTCCACGGCCCTGTACTATCACCTCAAGGGCCTGGAGGGGAGGAGAGGGAGTCAGAACTATGGGAGGGTATTTGGCTACCTGCATAACCTCACCTGTCCCTCCCAATAGCCTATCATGTCAGCATTCTTTTCCCCATTTTACAGATGAGGAAATTGAGTCTCAGGAAGAAACAGCTATTTGGCCATTGCCTCACAGCTGGTAAAGGACAGAGCCCTGATTTGAGCTCCCATCAGTCTCTGTCAGATGAATGGTGGATTGTCAGCCATTGTGACAACTGAACATCTGTCACAGGTTCCTCCTTCCCCATAAGATAAACGTGTGTTCGGGATAAGGGATAGCCACTTACTTCCTTTCTTCCCACTCCCCTCTTAACTCACCAGTGAACAAGGCAGTTCCCCCCATTGAGGCGGCAACAGTGGATGAAGTTGATACATTCTTTGAAGTGCTTTTTGCTAGAGAAGAAAGCAATAGGGTAGGGAGCCCTGGGTGGGGGTGAGCATGTCTCCTAGCAGTTGTCCCCCTCCCCATTTATGAGATAGCAAGAGACAAAAATCCTGGAGGTCCTTAGGTCAGCTAGTCATGCAGTGAGTAGGGGCCAATACTGTCATAGGATGTGGGGATGTGTGTGAACAACATCCCCACATGGTAGAGAGAGGCCAATCATGGCAGATCCCACTACAGAGGCAGGAGAACCTCCCCAGTAGGTCCTATGAACCCTATTTTCACAGTGTAGGGGGAGATCTTGACTTTTCAAGGAAATGGATGGGAGAAGATACAGGAGTCCCCCTCCTCTGGGGTCTGCAATCAAAGCATCTGGGGACAGCGATGGTCTACAATGGGGTTGACAGCAAGATTCCAGAGGGGTAGGAGTGTCTCTTGTCTGGGCTTTTCCCAGGCTGGAGACACTGCTGCTAACATGAACAAAAATCCCATGTTCTGAGCCCCCAGTACACTGCAGGCCTTGTCCTAGAAACTCAGTCCATGCCATCTGATCTTGGAAAGCCTCCTTGATGCTGATCGCACCTGCATTTCTCCTCTCAGAGAGGGGAAGCGCTTTGTCCAAGGTCACACAGCAAGTAAATGGCAAAGCCTGGCCGGAACCCAGATGTCTTAACTCCAAGGCCAGAAACCAGCTGAGCCTGACCTTTTCAAATCCGCTGGTGCAGCTAATCCTGTGAGACAGGGAACTTTCTCCAGTTTGCAGCAGAAGAGACTCAGCTCTGGGAGGTTAATGGTCTTGGTCAGGGGCATAGGCAAAGGCATGGCTGAGACACAGTCAAACTTGGGGCTGGGTGAGCATCTGTGTTAGGGTCCCAAAACAGCTTTCTGGCCTGTGTCCTCTCTGTTCTCCCTCAGACCACTTCCCATCCTCCCTCCCACCAACACAGGAGGCAGCTGTCTGTCCATCTGTCAGTCCATCTTAGGGAACTTACATGGGTACCTCAGGGTTGTCAGCCACTGGGATGCGAAGGTAGGTTATGCCCTGAAAGTACAAAACACACACAGGCAGTGTGTGCATGTGTGTGTGTGTGTGTGTGTGTGTGTGTAGGGGGGGTGCTTACTTATACCCCCTGACCCCAGCCTGGGTCCCCAAGTACCTCCTGACCCCAGACCAGTTCTTGCCCCTCTCTGGGCCACAGTTGTTCTCTCTGTCCAAAGAGGGTTGATGCAATCTCTGAGGGCCTCCCAGCTCTGACCATCTGTGATTCTAGAACTTTCTAAGAACTTGATAAAAAGGGACCTCTCATTTAATAACCAGAAAAGGGCTACTTAAAGTGACTCCCCTCCAAACAAGGATTACAAAATTACATACTAAGAAGGGCAAAGCAGATTCTATTTTCTTGAAAAGAAACAAAAATTATGAAAATAAGTTTATACCTTATTAATTGTAGTTGTAGGCTTTGTGCTAATTATTAAAATAATCAAGGGGTGAATTGCCAGTAGTTTTTCCAACTTGCTCCAACATCCTTCACTTCAAGCTTCACCTTCACACAGGATCATAAAGATGATTTCTGCCCATATTCCAAGAACCTTATCTCTTTTCTCAAGGACCTCTCTTAAATGTTTGATATTCAAATGGCTCTTTTCAGGTGGCTGGCCCATCAATGGCCAGTGGCTAAGGGACTTGGGCCAGATCTTCATTTGTTAATGGCTTCATGTGCGAGTCCAGCCTTTCCCCAACTCACTTTCCCCAAGGTCACTCAATCCTGCATCTTCTGCAAGGTTTGCAATTCATTTGGAACACTTTTGGCCTTGCATTTGCAAGGCATAAACTCTGGTAAATTCACTGATGGATGGACTGGGAGAAACGCTTGTGAGAAAAGGGAAGGGCTGTTGGAGTAGGATTCATTTTGTAAGCAGTCATTTCATTAGTAAATATATTCATGACTTGACAACCTTCCCCATGCAATCTAATGACTGCATACTTCAATTGCTTCAAAACAAGCCTGCACTATAAAGCAAAGTCAGACTCCATTGACCTGGAAGTTTCTTCTTTGAATGACACTGAGAATCACAGACTATGGGAGGTGCTCTTAGAAATCACCAAATCAGACACATGGGGAAATTAAGGCCCAGAGAGGGGAAGGATCCTGCCCAAGGTCACACAGCAAATCTGTGACAGAACCTGGTCTGAATCTCAGATCTCCGGAGCCCTTTCCCACCCACAGTTCTTTCCCTTCAGTGGGTGACAAGAGACTGTAACAGATAAGGAGGAAGGGACTCTGTTTATGAAATAAGAGTACGATTAACTTTGTATTATATCAGCTGTAATTTGTTAAGCACCTATTATGTGGGTCTCAACAACTCAATGAGTTCGGTACTATGATAAAATTCCCTTTACAGATCAGGCAACTGAGGCAACTGAGGCTCAGAGAGGTGAAGTCTTTTTTTTTTTTTTTTTATCCTCACTCGAGGACATTTTTGCATTTATCTTGAGATAGAGCCAGAGGGAGAGGGGAAGGGAAAGAGAGAAACATTGATGTGGGAGAGACACATCAAGTGGTTGCCACCCACATGACCCCAGCCGGGGGCGGGGACGAACCACAACCGAGGTACATGCCCTTAGTGGGAACCGAACCCGGGCCTCTCTGGTCCGTGGGCCCATGCTCCAACCACTGAGCCACACAAGCCAGGGCGAGAGGTGAAGTCTTATGCCCAAGGTTACAGAGAGAGTAGATGAAGATGTGAACTAGGGCCTCATGACTCCAGCACATGTTGTCTGGATTTCCTGCTTTCCTCCTCTGAGTCAAAACACCCTCACCCCCTTTTCCCCAGGCCAACTGTTCCAGTGGGAGCCAGGCTTTACAGTGGGCAAGGCATCTTTACCATCCAACAGCTCCTTTGCCTCCTCACAAGAGCCCCCTGGGGGCAGAGGCCCAGAGAGGTGAAGTCGCAGCCTCAGGTCACACAGCAAGACATGGAGCCCAGAATCATCCATTTAGGGTCATGTATTCAGTTGGACAATGGAAAGTCCACTTGTGGGCCTTTCTATGGTACAGTGTGATGCATCTGGGGCCAGATGGCCTGTGTTCAAATTCAAGATCCTTAGCTTCCTGGATGTATGAGTTTAGGCAAATTATTTTACTTCTTTGGGTCTCAGTTGCCAAATAGGGATCAAGTAGGGATGCTTACGTAAAACAGGCCAGTTTTCAACCAAATGAGTTATCATGGGTCTGGAAGGCAGTTAAGGAACTGGCACATAGTAGGCAGATGATAAGTGGGTGCTGTGTGTGTGGGGGGGTCTGAGGCCCCTCTCCCCAATCTATGCACATCCCTGGAACAAGGGTAAGGAGTACCTGTAGCAGAGGCTGGGGTGACTCATGAATGGAGATGATGTGTGTGATCTTATTCCGGCCCAGCTGATCCGGGTCTTTGGCATCTGAAAGAAACAGGAAGCTTGAGCCAATCTGGCAGGTGTGACTTACGTATTCCTGATGGCCAAATGAGACGGGACTCCCTGCCTGACCCTCCTTCTCACCTCACCCTCTCCACCTTGGCGGACCCTCTGCTAGCTCCCGGTTCCTTTGCCACCTCCTGGGCCTGGCATAACAGGTCCAGCCACACTCCTAGGCTTTAGTCTTGTCTCTGGGGCACCGGCAAGTAACAGCCCAGCATTTCCCCTGCCTTCCCCTGCTATTCTTTCCATTGTAAATATCCTTCCCTGGCATATGCTTGACCCAGTAATTTTACTTCTAGGAATCTTGTCTACAAAAGGGTTTGCTCACACAAAGTTCTGTGTGTAGAGGACGATATTCTCTGCAGTGCTGCTTATGACAGTAAAGACATCAGTAATAGTTAAAAGTGGGGGAAAATGAAATGCCCATCAAAGGGGAGCTGGATAAAAAATGGTGTATTCATACTTAAATACTATGCAGCTCTTTATGTGCTGATGTGCAAAGATGTCCACAATATATGACTAAATGGGAAATACAGGTGACAGGACAACATGCAGAATAGGTTTGCATTTTTGTTTTAAATCTTGTATCTGTATGGATTAAGATGAAAAATGACCCAGGGGTATGCCTCACACTGCTATCAGTGGTCATCTCTAGGGGCTGGATTGCCAGTGTATACAGACCTTATATAATCAGAGTAAATAACACATATCCCCTCTGTCTTCATTTGTCCACATCCTCATTCAACACATTTACTGAGTGCTTTACTCTGTGCAGTCTTGGCTGAGCATAGAAGTATGGGGTCAACTTCTGCCCTTATGGGAATTCAGACCTTATTTAGCCAAATGTCAGAAATCAACGTGGTATGAGCTTCTGAGGTAGCTCCAGGGAGGAAGGGCTCAGGATTTATGGGAGTGGAGCATCTATGCCAGTGGGGGACAGGGCGGATGGGGAAGGCCTTGTCCCAGTTCAGATCCCCTCCTTCTCTGAAGCTTTCTCTTACTCTGAAGATGAAAGTGACATTCCTCACCTTGGGTCCCACAAGCCCTGGACCAGCCTGTCTCTTAACACAGGCCCAGGACAGGCAGAGTGCCATGGCCTTGGGACAGAGTGGGCATTGCTGACCAATGACGTTTCTGAGGTAGGGTCCAGTCTCCAGGACTTCTCCTCCAAGAAGGAGGTTGTGGGGGGAAGGGTCCCAGCTTCCCAGCTAGAAACAACACCTCCAAACAGACCTCAACCCAGAACCTCGGGGCTGGAAGAGCCTGGCATCACTTCCCTGCCCCCAGCCCCATTCCTGAGTGCCTCCAAGGTGTGTGGGCCAGAGCATGAATGATGGACATGGGCCTGGGACAGGCGGAGTGCCATGCCTTGGGACAGAGTGGGTAGTGCTCACCAATGAAGTTTCCGAGGTAGAGTCCAGGAAGTACCTACAGGAGAGACAGGCAGGGTCAGCAGGGTAGGGGAGCGTGCCCTTCCCACCCCAACAGCTAGGGCCCTCAGCTGCTCTCCATCCCATGAAGGGTGTCTGAACCTCAGGACTTGGGGAGCACTCTCCTCCCTCTGGTGGGCCTGGACTTTGTGTGAGGGATTGGGGAGGCAGGAGGGGGGCACCAAGGCAGGTTACCTTGGTAGGGGTGAGAGGAAAGAGGAGGGAGAGCACCAATCCTAGGGGGAGAGGGTAGGAGGAGCACAGAGGAGGGGGAAGGGAGAGGTGGACTTGCCAGGGTGGGTGGTGGGGAATTCTGAAGAGGAGGGAGTGGGAAGGCAGGAACAGGAGGAGGCAGAAGGGCAAAGAATGGAGAAACAGTCCCAGAGAGAGTCCAGAGTCAGAGACAGGGGAGACAGAGACAGAGAAAGGGAGTCAGAGAGAGACAGTCTGGGAGTGACAGGGAGCCACAGAAAGACACAGGAAGAAATAGTCACAGAAGCAGACAGAGACCAGAGAGACAGACATGTACAGAGACACAGAGAGACGCAATTAGAGCTACAGCCCCAGAGAGACACACAGCGAGTACGATCTCAGAGTCGCAGGGAGAGACACACACACACAGACTCGGCGAGAGCCAGAGGTCAGAGACGGGCAGACGACCCAGTCCGAGGCTGGCGCCGCGGTCGGGGCGGGGGGCGGGCAGGTGCGGGCTGCGAGATCCCCGCCCACCTACCTTGGTCATGCCATTCCCCATGATCCCTGGGGCGGGGGTCCAGGCGCACCCCCAGCTCGCAGCCCTGAAAGCGCTCGGGTCACGGTAGCCCTGATGGCCCAGGCCCGGCGCGGGCAGCCTGGAGGGGAACAGGGGGCCTGGCGTCCGCGGCCCCGCCCAGCCCTGCCCAGCCGCCGCCGTCGCCGCCCGCCGACCCCCGGCCAGGCAGGGAAATGATGGTGGAGCCGCCGCTGCCGCCACCGCCGCAGGCTCCTCCTACCCCCTCGGTCATGTGGAGGCCCCCTCCCGTGGGTCGGAGCGGGGGGCTGGACAAAGCCCCAGTGTGCCGGGCCCCGGGCCCGCGGGACAACGGCAGCTTGTTGGGGCCGCGTGGGGCCGATACCTCCGGAGGTGGGGGCGAGGGCGCTCCCCCCACCCTGGCACTGTCAGGCTCGGGCAGGGGGTGGGCGGAGGCGGCGGGAAGAGTCCTCAGCCAGGGGCTTACAGACCCAGATCTCAGTTCCGGCCCTGCCTGGACTTCCCTGCGGGCCCTGGCAAAGCGCTGGGCTCCTTTGGCCTCTGTTTCTCGCAGAAACGTGATGGGGGCTGGACTTTGATGACTGTGGGTCCTGTGTTCTTCAGATTCTGTTTGAGACTAGAAAAGTGGGTAATATCTTCCTTCTTTAACCCCCTCCCCTGCCCCACTCCCCATGCAGGCATCCTTCCCACCAGCCAACCACTCTCCCCCACTCACACAACCCTCTGTTCTCCCATCCTTCAGCCCATCCATTCACTGGTCCATCCATCCACTTATCCTCCCATCCCCCATCTACTTTGACCTGTATGTGGACGGTGCCAGTTGGGTCGTTTCTGCTGGGACCAGGCACACCTGCACTTAGGGCCCCCAAGAATTCAGAGGTAAATGTGAGGTGAGGGGAGGGTTGCAGTCACCTGGATCCCCTGGAGTAAAGGAGACTACAACAGATGTATTTGGAGGCAAGAGTCCTGGAAGGTGATTCTGGAGACTAAGGTTCTGGGCCCTATTTCCCTCGGACCTGCTGGGTGACCTTAGGAATGTCCCCTTGGGGTCACAGCTGCCCTGCGTGTCAGTGTGTTGAGGTGAGCCATTCCTGCTACTAGGACCAAAGCTGGAGAATGTAAAGTAAGGGAGACCAGACACCTCCTATGGGACTGAAATAGAAGCAGCTGAACCAGCTTGTTCCTCCAGCCACCCTCCCCTGCCCCAATCTATAGTAGTAGATGTAGTATATAGTAGTAGGTGTGAGGAATGTCAGTACAGAGCAGAACAGAGGGCTGACAGAACCTGTTGAAAATGCAGTGACTGGAAAAAAATAAAACCCTTTTTTTGGTGTTTCTTTTTTTTTTTTATCCTCACCCGAGGACATTTTTCCATTTTTTGCACAGATAGAGTAGGAGGGAGAGAGAGGAAGAGGGAGAGAGAGAGAGAAACATCGACGTGAAAGGGACACATCGAGTGGCTGCCACCCGCACGACCAACCAGGGCCAGGGACAAACTGCAACCAAGGTACATGCCCCCAGCGGGAACCGAACCCGGGTCTCTCCGGACCGCAGGCCGATGCTCTAACCGCTGAGCCAAATCGGCCAAGGCTTTGGTGTTTCTTTATTCCTCAAATTCACAGCATACATGGGAGCTGCCTGTCTCAGCTCTCTCTGAGCCCAGAGTTCTCATAAAAACCAAATTATTCAACAAATAATCACTGAGCACCTACTACATTGTAGGTACTGGGAACACATAGGTAGATAAGGGAAACGATTCCTATCTTCATTGGCTAACAGTCTAGAACAGCACTGCCCGAAAGAAATGGAATGTGAGTCACATGTGTAATTAAAATTTTTCTAGTAGCCACATTAAAAATGTAGAAAGAAGCAGGTTGTTAATGTTTTAACCCAATATAACCAAAGTATTATTATTTCACCATGTAGTTAATATTTAACATTATTAATGACATATTTTACATCTTTTTTACTTATTAAGTCTTTAAAATCCAGCGTGTTTTTACAGTGTGTTTCCAGTTAGAGCACATCTTAGTTTAGACCAGGCACATGTCAAATGCTTTGTAGCCGTATCTGTCAGCCAGCTTCAGATTGGACATCTCAGGTCTAGTAGGGAAGGAAATAGAGCCTGGCCAGTGTAGCTCACTGGATGAGGATGGACCCACGCACCAAGAGGTTGCCGGTTCAATCCTGGGTCAGGACACATGCCCAGGTTGTGGGCCTGATCCCTGGTGGGGGGCATGCAGAAGGCAGCCAATCGATGTTCTCTCTCATCGATGTTTCTATCTTTCTCCTTCTCTCTCTAAAATCAATAAAATAATTTTTTTTAAATAAGCAAATAGACAAATAAAACATTTACAAATGGTTGCACTTTTCTATGAAGGAAATAATAGTGTAAAAGGAAAAACCTTTCTAGGTGCATGGGTCGACGCTCAACCACTGAGCCACACTGGCCGGGTGAAAAACCTTTCTAAAATAAGAACCTTTCATTAAAGTTGAGACCTGGCATAGAAGAAGGACCCAGCTATTTAAAGATTGGAGGGGGGAAAAGTGGAGAGATTTCCAGCAGAAAAACAGCATGGGCAAAGGCTCTGTGGTGGGAAAAGCTTGGCCTTTGGAAAAAGCCAGTGGAACTGGAGGGGGAGGAAGCCAAAGAAAGGTGGTAAGAATGAGACTGAGAGGAGAGAAGAGGTGGAGTGTGCAGGGCCATGTATGGTCATAATTGGGCGTTCAGGGTTTTCTTTTGCGTATGATGGAAAGCCAATGGAAAAATTTAACTGGGGAAGCCATGTCACCTGATTACATTTTAGATCCATTACTTTGGCTCCTATCTGGAGTGTGGATTAGAGAATAAAGCAGGAAAGACTGTGAGGAGGTTACTGTGGCATCCCAAGCAAGAGATGATGGTTTTCTTGCCTTGAAAATCACCAACTGTGCACAAAAGTGAAAGCAGGCTTATTCACTCAGTCATTCATTCAACAAATGCTTACTGGGTACCAGATTATAGATGAAAAATTGCACCAAAGATGTGCTGATGTCTGACTTGAGTTTCACAGAATGCCCTACTCCATGGATGACATAAAGAAATGCTGATGCACCCTGGCCGGTTTGGCTCAGCGGTTAGAGCGTCGGCCTGCGGTCCTGAGAGACCCGGGTTCGGTTCCCGCTAAGGGCACGTACCTCGGTTGTAGTTTGTCCCCGGCCCTGGTCGGTTGTGCGGGTGGCAGCCACTCGATGTGTCCCTTTCACATCGATGTTTCTCTCTCTCTCTCTCTGTTCCTCTCTCTCCCCCCCCCCCCCACTCTACCTGAACAAAAAATGTCCTCGGGTGAGGATTAAAAAAAAACACAGAAATGCTGATGCCCCAGCAGGTTGGCTCAGCAGTCAGAGCATCAGGCCTGCGGATCAGGGAGTCCCAGGTTTGATTCTGGCCAAGGGCACGTACCTCAGTTGTGGTTTGCCCCCGGCCCCAGTTGGGGTTGTGTGGGTGGCAACCAATCGATGAGTCTCTCTCACATTGATGTCTCTCATCTCTCTCTCTCTCTCTCTCTCTCTCTCTCTCTCTCTCTCTCTTTCTCTCTCTCTCCCTCCCTCCCACCCTTCCTCCCACTCTGTCTGAAGATAAATGTAAAAATATCCTCGGGTGAGGATTAAAAACAAAAAAGAAATGCTGATAAATGGGCCTGAAGACTCGTCATGCCCCGGTCCTTAGCAGCTCTGTGAACCAGGGCAGGCAACCGAATGCCCCAGATCTGTTTCCTCATCCATATAGGGGAAATTATAACAGTTCTTTGAGCTCTTACTTGGTTGGGAAAATAAATCACATGTACAAAAAAACTCTCTATCAGGTTAAAAGGCCTGAAGAAAACAAAACAAACAAACACCCAATATACTTATTAGACTGAACACATTTAAAACTATAACTGTTTATCATTTGAAAGTGTTAGTTCTTGCGAAGCCCAGCTTGCTAGACATAAGTCATGAAGTGACTTTTATAAATAAAACCAATAATAAAAATATACTAAAATGCAGGTCTCACCTGGTCATTTCCTTGCTTAAAACCCTTCAGTGGCTCATTGTGGTAGGCAAAATAATGGATCCCCCAAAGATGTCCATGCTCTAATTCCTAGAAATTGTGAATATGTTGTTATATGGGAAGGAGAGATTAAGGCTGCAGATGGAATTGAAGTTGCTCATCAGCTGACCAGGAGATGGAAAGATGATCCTGGAGTATTCGGGTGGGCCCAATGTAATTACAAGGATCCTTATAAGTGAAAGAGGGAGGCAGGAGAATAAGAGTCAGAGGGGATGTGATGACAGAAACAGCAGCTGGAGTGCTATGTTTGCTGGCTTTGAATATGGAAGCGGGCCACAAACCGAGAAATGCAGGGGCAAAAGCAAGGAAACTGATTCTCTCCTATGGCCTCCAGAAGGAACCCAGCCCTGCTGCCACCTTAATTTTAGCCCAGAGAGACCCATTTCAGACTTCTGACCTCGAACACTGTAAGCTAATACATTTATGTTGTTTTAAGGCACTTCACTTGTGGTAATCACAGCAGCCATAGAAACATAATACACTCACCAATACCCCTCGGATAAAGTCCAACCTGCTTAGCATAGCACACAGGCCTTGTGGGATCTGACTTCTACCACCGTGACCTTGAGCAAATTTCTTAATTTCTATGCCTGTTTCTTCATCTGTAAAATGGGAAAGAAAAAAAAAATCCCCCTAGGTCTGTAATGAGATTAAATGAGAACACATTTAAGGTACCTAATAGAGAGACTGGCCCACCATCATTATCATGGAGCAATTGACAGAGAGTTAGGAAGCCTGGGTTCTATTTCCCTCATTAGGGCTCTGTTTCCACATCTGTAAAAAAGGAAATAAACACATACAGGTTTAGCAGTTTCATTTCTCCGCTCTTCTCCACTCTTTCCTGGTCTTTGATCCACTTTCACTTCCTCAAACATGCTTCAATCTAATTTCTGGTTTTGCACAGTCCATTCCCTCTGTCTGGCATGCTCTTCCCATCCCCTTCACTAGGCTAACTCCTATTTCCTCCTGGCGGTCTTTGCTGACCCCAATCAGAGTTGGTTAGACCTCACTGTTAGGCATTCCC